TCCTTTGTTTCCTCAAATCACACAAAAATTTTGTCTTTTGCTTAGTATGGCTGTTCAGAGAAACAATTCTGAAATCAATCAGAATACTGTGGGTGAAATTTAATTTACTCTGGGTATTAAGCAGGTCACTTTGTGCCTCAATTTCCTAATCTGCACAATGAAGCAATGATACCCCGCAGTAGTTTTGTTATGAGCAGCAATTGTCCTACAACAAAGCAAGTGCCTGGCACAGTGACAGTTCTTTAGCACTTATCATTAGCAGTTATTTAGCTTTAGCCATCACTCATTCTCAGGGTTATGGAGCTTTAGTCTGTAGAAATTTTTTTTTCCCATTGAGCCAAGTATCTTTTTAATAATTGACTGATAATTAAACCCTGGGATAAATGTATCCAGATCACTTGTTCGTGCGTGCATGCGTGTGTGTCTGTGTTGGGAGGAGGGGTAGTCAGTCATGGGGCTTTAACTCGGGGCCTAGGCACTGTCCCTAAGCTTTTGTGTACAAGGCTAGCACTCCTACTTTGAGCCAAAGCTCAAATTCCAGTTTTAGGTGGTTAATTGGGGTCTTTGCTCTCTGGCTGGCTTCGAACTGCGATCCTCAGATCTCAGCATCCTGAGTAGCTAGGATTATAGGCATGTCACCAGGGCCTGGCTTATATATGGCATGTGTGTGTGTGTGTGTATTTTTTCTTTTAACAGACTGTTTTAAACTTAGCCAAGTATACTAAAAAATACAAGTTCTCAACTATCCCGTGCTTCCTATGCATAATTTCCTTGCTATCTGCTTATGTGGTGCTGAGGAATCGAACCCAGGGCCTCCTGCATTCAAGGCAAGCACTCTACCACTGAGCCACCTTCCCAGCCCCCATAAGCTTATTGTAAGTACAGATCAGTACCTTCACACTGTTGTGAATTAGTGTAGCCAATCTCTAAATTACCTTACCTTGTAAACACACCTTGCACCACAAACAGAGTGATTAAACAAGATAAATTAATTCATTTTCTCATAATTTTGGAAGCCAGAAGTCCAAGAGCAAACTGTGAATCAGTTTGGTTTCTTCTGGGTTACCTATGGTCACTTTCTGTGTCTGCACATGACCTTTCCTCAGTGTCCAGATTTCCCTCTTCTAAGGACACCAGTCAGATTTGATGAGGTTCTGTCCTAATGGCTTCATTGAACTTGAACTGGAGGTCAAGACTCAAAATATCTGAATTTGGGATGGGAAGAGCACATTTTGCCCTATAACACATTAAATAAAATAACTTCCATCCTCTCCTCCCCTAGCACTTGGCATCCGCTCTTCTCCTGTCTCGATGAATTTGATAGACTAGCTACTTCAAATAAGCAGAATCAGAACCCTCCACTCTACGTGTATTCCCCATTGTGTTTATCCACTTCTTCACAGATGGATACATGGGCTGCTTCCACCTCTCTATTGAGAATAATGTAGCTGTGAACATAGATGGATAAATAGCTGCTCAAGACCCTGGTTTCAATGCTTTGGGTATATACCCAGGAGTAGAACTGTCTGAGAACTTTTAAGCAATCACTAAAGTTTGGGTTATCCTACCCAAATACTTCTCCTTAAGTTAACTGTACTTCAATATCTTAACTAGGTATTACAAAACTAAAACCTAAGACTATTTCACCTAAGGTGTATATCAATTAAGTTATCTTAAAAGGTATGAGTCAGGGATCTATGAGATAAGAAAGATCATAAATACTTTATCACATTAACCTAGATATTAAAGTAATTTATAACTTACACATTTATAGTAAAGAGATAAGTAATTTAGATCACACTTTAAAAAGTTCATGGCAGCACCAAAATGGCAAGTAAAATATAGAAACTCAGTTACAAATTATATTTTTTAGAAATTTTCAGAACAGGGCTGGGAAGGTGGCTCAGTGGTAGAGCGCTTGCCTTGCATGCCTGAGGCCCTGGGTTCGATTCCTCAGCACCACATAAGCAGAAAAAAAAAAAGCCAGAAGTGGCACTGTGGCTCAAGTGGTATAGTGCTAGCCTTGAGCTGAAGAGCTGAGGGACAGTGCCCAGACCCAGAGTTCAGGTCCCATGACCAAAAAAAAAAAAAATTAAATTAAATAAATAAATAAGAGCACAATAGGAAGTGTACTCATTACCTTGCTCATGTAACTGTAACGCTCTGTATAGTATCTTTACAATAAAAAATTTAAAAAAAATAAGCTGGGCGCTGGTGGCTCACGCCTGTAAGCCTAGCTACTCAGGAAGCTGAGATCTGAGGATCGCAGTTCAAAGCCAGCCCGGGCAGGAAAGACTGTGAGACTCCTATCTCTAATAAACCACCAGAAAACCGGAAGTGGCTCTGTAGCTCAAGTGGTAGAGCGCTCGCCTTGAGCTGAAGAGCTGAGGGACAGAGCCCAGGCCCAGAGTTCAAGCCCTACGACCGACAAAAAAAAAAAAAATAAGAGCAAAACATAGCTTGAATGAACTACAGTCTAAACTCATAACTACTCATCTCCACCAGACTATCATGTAATAAATGAGAAAATTTTTCTCAAATCATTTCAAATGTATTTCTTTTCTTTTCTAAAGTTCACATTATACCAGAATTACTTTGAGAATTAATTTGCTTTTTAAAGCTATGTCTTCAATTAGGTATATTATTAAGAAGTATATCACTAAGATATAGCATTATGATCTTATTCTTTAACAGTATGTTAATATGTCCTCAAAGTGAGAATATAAGAAAAAGAATGTGTCCTTAGTAATTTCAAATTAGAAGAAATTTAGAGTGATCAGTTTTAGTTCATGCTCAGCATGCATTACAAAGTTGGTTTTTTTATGCTCTGAGGCTTGAACTCAGGGCCCAGTGCTCTTAGTTTTTTGGCTTAATGCTGGTACTCTACTACTTGAACCATACCCCCACTTCTGGTTTTTTGTTGGAGATAAGAGTTGCATGGATTTTTGTGCCCAGGCTGGCTTTGAACCATAATGCTCAGATCTCTTCCTCCTGAGTAGCTAGTATTACAGGCATGAGCCACACGCCTGGCTTAAAAATGTGTATTTTTGTACACAGGAAAAAGAATGATATCCACAGTGGTCTTCAAAAGTGTAATCACTAGCATAGTTAAGGCATAATATTACTACAGGAATATATGAACATGAAGGCCAGATCTCCCACCAAAAACAAAACAATGTTCTGAAATACCATACTCCACTTGCCACTCATGGCCTATGATTTCTGCAGAGCAGTTATACAGCCCTGGAGGAAAAGGAGGAAGCCAAAGAACTTAAGGTCAAGCAGAGGTAAAGTTCCAGTGCATTTTGAGGCAAGCGGATGGAGGGAAACACCCTTAAACTTCAGTTTAATTTGGAAAAACCCAAACTTCCTAGATTTCTCATACTAAAAGTCCCAAGGTAAAGCTGAATTTGATTTTAAATAGTAGATTGTAATCTGTGAAACTTTAATAACCCAAGCTTTTTCTCTGGTAACCTCCTGACTTCTCGTAAACCTCTTTAAATACAACCCATTTGAATTCACTACAATTTAAATACTATAAATGCCATGAAAACACTCTTAAGGCCAGGAGCCAGTGGCTCATGCTTGTAATCCTACCTACTCAGGAGGTTAGATCTGAGGATTGTGGTTGGTGGCCAGCCTGAGCGGGGAAACTCTTGAGACTCTTCTCTTCAATAACCACTGAAAAGCTGGAAGTGCAGCTATGGCTCAAGTGGTATAGCATTAGCTATGGGGCACAAAAGTTCAGTGATGGAGCCCAGTCCCTGAGTTCATTTGCATACAACAGTTCAGGCAATTCAGTGGTTTATTGAACATCTACTAATCTACATCAGGAAAAAGGATAGGGCTAAGGGGCCGATCCTCTGGACTACCCTGGGGGACTCAGCCTAAGATAGGAGGATGGCCAGAGTTGGGGAGTAAGTTTCCAGTCCCTTCACTTAGGGAGTGTCGGATACACTCCTGCAGAGATGCCATTTCCAGAGCTTTTAGGCACACGACTTGAGGACACTGATTATCAATAAGCCGGGTAGGTGGTCTGGGTACGCCCCGGCACCCAGGGACCAATACTCCAGGCTAAGGTCTGTTCCGTTTAAAAGGAAGCCAAAAGGGACCTATCCTCAGTGATTACTGAACGCCTCAAGTTTTTGTTCATCCTTCTTAAACTCCGAGCGCCTGGTGAATTTCAATTCATGTGATCCCGTCCCACCCACCCCCACCCCTGGCGCTGTGAAATCCTTCCAAATCCTGCATGGACGGTTAAATCAGGATGTCCAACCCAACAGCTTTTGATGCAAATTGTTATCTGGGGGAGAAAAAAAAAATCTGAAACGTAGCAAAGAATGCAGCTTTCATTCTCCTAGGACAGGAGAAAGTTTAACTTAGCGCTCCCGAGCTATTCCACGGAGTTATAACACATCCCCTTGGGGCCACGCGGGGCCAAGGCTCGCTTTACGAAAAAGAATCAGCAGCAGATGTCAAATTAAGTCACAAATTCCTTCTCCCTTCCGAACCGTGTGTGTGCGCGGAGAAGAGGCCTCGTGGAACACAGTCAGCTGCGGTGGAACGCGGAGCGCGTGGGAATCACTTCACTCTGCTCTTCGATCCGGAGAGGTGGCACCTCCAGTTCTTAAGCCATTAAGGAACGGAAGTCTCCCCCCGAACCCCACTAAAAGTAGCAGCTGCGAACAGCCAGTGGGTCCCCGGGCTGCCCGCGGTGCCCGCCTCGACCTCGGCCACAGGTGGCCGCGGGGCGGCAACGACACTCGGGTCCCCGCGGAGGCAGGGCCACGCGGGCGCGCTCCAGGTCCCGGGCTCTTTGTGGAGAGCGCAGCGCCATTGGCGGCGAGGCTCGGCGTGGCCATCGAGGTCCCTCGTCCCTCCCTCCCCCTCCCTCCCCTGCGTCCAAGGCCACATGGCCCCGGCTCCCGGGTCTCCTCCTCGGCCCCGACCCCCCCCCCAGGCTGGGCGCCCACCTCTCGCCGCCCCGACCCCCACCTCACCGCTTTGAGATCCAGCACGCCGTCCTTGGCCTCCTGCAGCAGCGACACGAACTTGGTGGTGAGCAGCCCCAAGCTCTTCTCGTGCCGGCTGCTGCCTCCCCCGAGGCCCGCGAGCTGCGGCTGCGACGGCTGCGCGGGCTGCGGCGGCTGCGCGGGC